AAAAAAAAAAAAAAAAAAAAAAAAACTCCTCATAGCTAAACAAAAATTTTTTTTAGAAAAAAAGTCAGATTTAGAGCAGATTTTATGAGACTGAATAGACATAAAATTACAAAAGGCACCTACAATTTTTGACCATTATAAAATGGTTTGGAACCATGTCAAAACAAAAGAAAAACCAGCAACAACTCCAGAGAAAAATCATTCCAAAAGGCCAGAAAGATAGACAATAGAAATGGAAGGAGTGAAGATATGTGTGAGGGAGATTTTTGTGAATGTGTATTCAGAAGACTATAATCCCACAGAAATTCAGATGACTACAAGGAGTGCAGGTTTCAGAGAGAACCAGAAGTGAACAGAATGGTCTGGTGGAAGGAAATATCTTTACTGGACCATTAACAATAGAGCTAAGACCAAAACACCTTTCATATGTGTTCAAGTTTAACTGCCACCCTGCCCTGCCACCCTGATTATACATAAACCAAGCTCTGCCACTTGGTTAGCGGCATCTACCAATTTGGGGGAAGCATTTTTACCCTGAGATAACATGGACACAGTGAAATTCTAGCTCCCAGATGAAATAAGACTTGAGCTTCTTCTGTAATTTGCTACCTCCCAGGCAAAAACAACTGTATCCAACATTATAATGTTGATGACAGCAATGCATCAACCTTTGCAGATTTGATAACAATGGAGGAAAAAGAGGTGTTTTTTCATTCCGAAAAGACTACCTGCAAACTCAGTAACCTTGGCAATCCTGAGCTTCTTTTTCCCGAAAATACTCATGGGATTTTTTTTTACATGGTGACTTGGTGTTTTCTTGACCGATGAAGACTGCAACTACTGGGAATAAAAAGGCCTACCCTAACTCCTGTCTAACCACCACACTAACTATTTTCTCAGAGTCTCAGTTTCATTTTTATTACAAAATAGCAATCCTGAGCTATCGCTGTGGTGGTAGCTTACTACTACTAGGAAATCGGAGTTAATTTATAAGGTTTCTTTCTAAATCTAAGTCTATAAATTTATCATTAGGTATTAAAATAAAAAGTTGAAATAGCAATTTTCTCTCACTTGCAAATATTTTAGTAATATAATATTCTGAAAATGCAATTCTTTCAAATCTTACCACATAAAGCTCCAGCACGACCTTCCAAAGTTACCTGCCAGGTAAAAGAATCACCCCGGGCTTTCTCGGCCTCCAACTCCTTTAAAGAACGAGGGAAAACATTTCGCCATAATAACAACATCTTTGGCAGATGATACCGAACAACAGATGGTCCTAAACAAGAAAATACACAAAACCATATGTATATAACATACATTACAAACAAAAGAAAGTGAGCTCCACACAGCTTTACAATATTGCTGACATTTCACTCTATTTTTTCATCTCTAAAATTAATGTTTCAAAATGCTTTTATCCAGTAAGTATTTAGTAAAGCATAATAAAAACACCTTATTTTTTAACAATATATCAAAAATATTATACTTGAAAAAAATCACATTAAAAGTACCAAAATTTTTAGTACCAAATATAAACAAACAAAGAAGCAATTAAAATTATCCAAAATATATTTAGAACAGCTGACTGCATATTGTCAATAATAAACTCTACATAGGATACATTCTGTTAGGTCTTTTTCATAGATATATTTGTACATAAACATACACCTATTTAAGTATATTCTCCTCCATTTTGGGGACATTGTATGTGGTTAATTGACTATACAAACAATATATTCAGCACTAAGAACCTGTGTTTACATTGCCAAATAATTCATTTGATGTACCACTTACATGCTTGACATGAACTTTTCGAAGAGTTACTTTTCTTTAGAGAACCAGGCCAAAATATAATTCACCATAGATAGATGCTTATTAACAGTGAATAATTTTGTAGCACATGCACACTTTGTAGTAGAAACTAAACATGTAAAGTAAATAGTGGACATGTCTCATCACAATGACACAATGTGTTTCTAAACTTTACCCATATCTAACATTTATCACAGCACTTAGGAAAGTGAAGCACACAAAGGTAACCCCCTAGAAGCAACACCAGCAATACTGCTTAAACATTGACTTTCTCACTCTTAAAATGGGGACTTCATTAGAGAATGGGATTTGCCCCATACTCTCAATATTTTTTGATTAGCCCTAAGCTCATCAAGGAGGCAATGGCTATTTAGATAAAGATGAAACTTTGGTACAAACTTTGTCATTAAAAGTACTTATGTAGAAATTACTGTAAGAGATCTGCCACCAAATGAGGGGGAAACATCTTTATCATTTCATAACCCCTTTTAAAGTCTAGAATGTGAGATTTAATATTTTTAAATTATATTTCCTTTATAGTCCACTGATAGTTATAGAGTAATTGTACCTAAAGTCATGAGTGCTCCAAGTAAAAGCCATCCAGCTTGAGTGCGCTGTAGAGACAGCCTGCTATTTTGGGCAGCAGTTCGTAAGAGATCTTCAGCAATACTAACTACCATCTGCAAAAGAAGTTTAGATTTTAAGCTAAACAAGTTGAAAAAAATCAAATAAGAAAACGGATAATTAGCAGTTTTATTTCAAAAAAGTTGTCTTTTTCTGTTGTTACTATTAAACTGTTTTCAAAGAGATAACACTGAAATATCCAGAATGGTACAGGCTAAAGTAAACTCTACAGCCAGGATGCCTGGGTTCTGAAACTGACTAGCTTTCTGACCCAGGGAAACCTAACCTCCTTGCCTTAGTTGTGTCTGTAATAGGAACAATAAGAGTATCTACTTCACTCTTGTTAGGATTAATTAGCACACTTGTCTTTTAGCTAATTTTATGAAAATTACAGTTTAGACAGAGAAAACACAGGAAGGCAACATATGATTAAATGACAAAACAGTAGTACAGATGTATTAATGGTCAACAAAGGAAAGGCTAATAAAGAGAAAGTTTTTATTGCTGTTTTTGTTTTTGTTGATACCAGGACTATGTAGCTCAGGTTGGCTTTGAACTTGCAATCTTCCTGCCTCACCTCCTGAGTGCTGGGATTACAGGCATGTACCACCATTCCATGCAAGTAAGTAGTTTTGAAGGAAGGAGACTGAACTTGAATTGGGTCTCTAAACAAAGAGATTTAAGTTTGGTACAGGTAAACAATAAATTCTCATGTAAGAAAGGCCTAGGAGCTGAAAAAGTATGGGAAAAAGCAAGAGGACTAATTTGAGTAAAGAATTGGAAAATCAGAGCAAATGTGAAATATAAAAATAGTGTGAAGACGACAGGAGAAAAATGACTTCAAAAAAGATAATCAATAAGGAAGCAACCATAATGAAAAAGGACATGAAATCCTAGATTCCTCAAGTAGTAACTATGGAACTCATAAAAATTAATGGACCGGGGGCTCAAAAAAAAGAAAGATTTTGAAAATCTAGTCCCAGTCTGATGACAGAAAGTTTTAGGTGTATTTATATAAATACTTATCCTAAAAAGAAAACCATGATTGTAGTATAAAGTATAGCTGAAACAAAGGGAAAAAAACTAATTCAAACCATTTAATTTTTAAATATTGTCAAAATGCTAAGTATGGCAATAGAATATTCTACCATCTTTGAACATAGCAGTGGGAATTTTTATTTCTGAAAACTAAAAGAACACCAGGCAAAGTAGTGTCTACCTGAAGACCTAGCTACTCAGGAGGTTAATACAGGAGGATTGCTTGAATGTAGGAGTTCAGACCAGACTAGACAAACCAGTCACAAAAATGGAAAAAAAAAAAAAACTGAAAGAAAAGTTCTGAGATTTAAATAACTGCTATAAGGTTATTTTCCCTCTAAAATAAATTATAACACAATACTATACCCAGACAAAACCTACTACTCCTATAACAGAATTAAATACCCAATTTTAATTAGGACCTACTAACATTATATTCTACATTACCGTAATAAAATTATTGTCATTTGATCACCCAGTTGAACATTAAACACAGCAGTGCTCCAATAAAGAATACTCACTAAGAGCATTCACAAAACTAGGATAGGACCTCTACTCTGCCTTACCTTTCCTTTGGCATGGGGAATGCCCAAAGGACACTGATGAACTCCACCTAACAAAGCAGCCATGGCAAAACTGTATCCACTAACAGCTTCTGGGGAAGTCTTCAAGTTGTTGAGCCGTTCTGCACACCTATCTAGAAATGGTGTCAACTGGAAAGGTAAAGCCACAGCCACACAGCGCAAACACCACGCAGCAGCAAGTCGAGCAGCCATGCTTGGATGAAGAAGCACTGAGGTCACAATCTCCAAAAGTCCTAAAAAAGAAATTCTCAAAAAATTACTCTTTACTGAAATAAAATGGTTTCAGAAATCAAAAGACTATGTATAGGTACGCTTTTGGCTCAAGTGGTAGAGTTCCTGCCTAGCAAGTGTGAGGCTTTAAGTTCAAACTCCAGTACCTCAGAGAAAAAAACAAAACAAAACAAAACTATGTGTAACATAGTAATTAAAATAATAATCACCAGGATTTCACACAGATGGTTTCACAGCTTTGTCAAGAAAAACCACATACATGATTTATAAACAGTAGAGGAATTTAAAGGAATATATTCTACAAAGAACATAGTACAATTATATCCAATAAAATATAAGAATTGATGTAAAATTAAATGAAAATCTTCCAACAAATTTTCCCTTTTTTGTGGTACTGAGTTTGAACTTAGGGCCTTTTGCTTGTTAGGCAGATACTTTACCAATTGAGGTGCATGTCCAGTCCAAAAATCTAATACATTATTTTAGTGGTTATCTTTTTTCTTCTTCTCCTTCACTCTTTCTCTCTTTCTTCTTTCCTTTCTTTCTTGTGGTGCTGGGATGAAACCCAGGACCTTAAATGTGCAAGGCAGGTGTTGTACTACTAAGCTATACCCCAGCTCTTTCTTCAACAAATTTTAATCAATTATTACAAACAATTCCCCTAACAGTTTTTGGTTTATCTCCCAAAACTTTATTTCACTATTTAATTCAATATTCCCTATTGCAATGAAAATTAACTTAAATAAAACCCAGTGAATCTAAACTACTAATTACAGGCTGGCAGAGTAGTGCAAATAGTAGAGTGCCTGCCTAGCAAGCTCAAGGCCCTGAGTTCAAACTCCAGTAACACCAAATAAAAAAATAAAATAATATACTACTAATTACAAAAAAAAATCAGGAGTTAAGTATCAATCATACCTATTACTTTAAAAAACAGTGAAAAAATATTTCAGCAAGTAACTGAATGTCTTACCTATAGATGCTTCCTGAATAAGAGGAGAAGCAGTGGCATTTAGGCTCTGTACCAGACTCCCAAGCTCCTGCAGAGCGCAGACCATCACATGCTGGCTTGCTGCAATATCTGCTGCCCCTGACTTGTTTTCACTACTAGTATCATTCACTACTGCTTCTGGAAACACAAAATGAGGATATGGACAAATTGAATTGTGAATTTTTTTAGTCTGTACAATTTGTACTTTTATTTGTAACACTTGATATCTAAATGATAAAAACTATGCAAATTATTACTTATTAGAAAACTTATATAACTAAGTACTGAACTGACATTACAACACTGTTTAATAACTTCATGACAATACCAAAATATATACATTTGACTGTTTCTAGGAATATGACTTTAAACAACAACAATCCACAGTATTACAAATTATAGAGCTGGGGATGTAGTTCAGTGATAAAAGTGCTTGCCTGCTGTGCATGAGGTCCTGGGTTTGATCCATTGTTTGTTTGACCACAAACAAAGCACCACCAACAAAAAAAACTGAAGAGCAAAAAGACTTGAATTTAAATACCAATTCCACCAGTCACTATGTAGCACTGGCAAGAAAGACACTCAACTTTTCTGTCTCAAGTTCATCATCTGTGAAAGGGCTATGTGCCTATCTTAAAAGGAATTATGATATCTTAAAAGTCAACATATATAAAGAATCAAACATATCTTGCCTCTAGTACACATTCAACAAATGTAAGCAGCTATCATTGTTGCTTTATTATTTTGTTGTTATTATTGCTATTTCAATTCTTCGAATATTCCAATATCTTGAGGCATCATTATCAAATTAATGACCAAAAAGTGGATCAATAAGGAAAGTAGCTTTAGAACTTCTTATCAAATATTCCTTCAAGTTCCTATTTGCCTTGCTGTCACCTCCCACAAGTTTTTAACATCCACAAGAATTGACATGTATTAAATACATAATTAAAATGTATTTAATATACTTAATATGAACTAAAGATTTCACTTTTTTTTTGGTGGTGGTACTGGGGTTTGAACTCAGGGCCTCATGCTTGCTGGGCAGGCGCTCTATCACTTCGGCCATTCCACCAGCCCTGAACTATAGATCTCTTATCAAATTACTAATCGAGAATATATTCTGGCCTATAAATCACTGACTTAATCATTGTACTTAATTCTGCTTTTAGGATTTTTTTTAAGCCAAACAGCTAATCTATAACTGTAAGATTAAATCATATTATTATGTTTTCTTTCTTATTTTTTGCATTCACTGTAAATCAACGGATAATAAAAATAAATAATACAGAATGATAGAATATAACATAATAATAAATTATGGACTATAATTAAATACCTCTTTTCTTCTTAGGCATTTCTGGACTTGAAAATGCATGAACTCTGCATTTTGATTACTAAACTGTAAGTGCCCTATTACAGAGCACTTGGCTTGTTATTTTACACATTAACAATATGCTTCTAATATTCGAAAGATTTTGTACAAATTCTTTCCAAGTTGTAAACATAGGGCAGATTACTACATAAACATATCTAAAGATCAACATCTTATTAAAAACACCCTCTAATTCATACTTCATAATTTTCAGTTTACCCTATATATTTCAAAACTAGTTGCTAAGTATTACAAAAATAACAACCACAAGTTTATTTTGGTTAATGTTATTAAATACTTAATTTGTATATTATCTAAATATAAATTACTGATTATATCTATTTATTAAATCCTTTTTTTTTTTTTTTTTTTGGTGGTGGTACTGGGGTTTGAACTCAGGGCTTCACACCAGGCAGGAGCTCTACTGCTTGAGCCATGCCTCTAGCCCTTTGTGCTCTGGTTATTTTGGAATAAGACTCTCACTTTTGCCCAGGTCATGACCCTCATATTTTATGAATCCCACCATAGCTAGGATGTCAGACACACACTACCATACCCAGCTTTTTTCCTGTTGAGATTGGTGGTCTCTTGACCTTTTTATCCCCAGGCTGGCCTGGAACAATGATCTTCCCATCTCAGACTCCCAAGTACTTAGGATTATTACAGGTGGGAGCCACCAGTACCTGGCTCTAAATCCTTACTTTTAAAGACGTCTTTTAAGGGATATAATTTGCCTTATTAAAACTAATGTTTATTTCCAACAGTGATAAAACTAAATTGTCTTATAAATTTTTTATTTGTCTTGCTTTAGTCCACAAGTTGTATTATAGAGTCCATGACAGCAGACACTTAATCTCACTCATTTAAACCTTGAACTATTGCTCTGAAAATGTCAGATATGCAATCACTATTGAATTTACAATATTGACACTGACCTCGTCAAACAGTTTTTTTTTTCTTTTTTACAATACTGGGGTTTGAACTGATGCTTACTAGGCAGATACTCTACCACTTGAGCCATACCTCCAGCCCTGAAAAAGATTTCTTTACAGGGGTGCAGTCAGATAAAAGGAATAACTCCTAATGTCCTATAGCACAGTAGCCTAACAATGGTTGAAAGCAATTAAATGTATACTTCAAAATAGCTAGTAGAGAGGATGTTCAATGTTCCCAATACTATGAAATGATCAATACTTGGATTAGTAAATATGCCAATTGCCCTGATCTGAGCATTATACATTGTGTAATATGTTTTAAAATGTCATGTTGTACCTCAATTTTTATGTCTATTGAAAATTTAAAATGTCCTTAAAAAAAAAAAAAGGAGTTTTTGTAACTATAAATTACTGAGATTTCACAGTATGTCCTATGGGGGCTGATACTCATCTATAATTGTTCCTCTCTAAATCTTCATATTAAGCCTACTAGGTGAGGAAAAAATATGTGTTTATAAAATAACAGGCTCCAAGCAGAAAAATCACAATACATTATTTCCTGAAGACAGAAACCAACGTGCTGCTGCATTTTAGGAGAATTATAAAATCAATATAGGTACTAGAAATAAAACAGAAAACTTATTTTACATACATACCACCCAAATCTTTAAAACTCCAATATAATTATATGTTGTTTTAATATTAAATAAAGTCCTCAACAAAAATTACTATGAAAACAGCCAAGAGTTGGTGGCTCACACCTGCCTAGCAAGCACAAAGCTATGAGTTCAAATCCCAGTATCATCAAAAAAAAAAAATTACTATGAAAACAGTCCAGAGAGATATAAACTTAACAGGTCTACTTGTATTTATTAAGAAGAATAATAGCAATCCCAATACTCTGGAGGCTGATAAAAGAAGATCATGAGTTCAAGGCCAAATTGAATTACATATCAAGCCCCTATGTCCAAAAAAAAAAAAAAAACACCTAAAGGACTGAGGTCATCAACAACATACACTGTGAGTCAGTTCTTACCCACTGCTTTCATTTGTTTTCCAATAGCTTGACAGATCTCCTTAGCAGCTGCTATCTGGGCTTTCTCACCCAACAAACTGCCCACAGTGGCTCTCAGGATGAAGGAGACACATCGTCGTGAGTACACAGCTTCCACATGTGTTTGTGTTGCCCGAGGATGAGAAACCAGATCAAGTACATGGGACAAGAATGTAGCAAAGCTACGCTCCAGCCACTGACCACCCAACGTTGTAACAAAAACAACATATGCCTAAAAACACATTAAGATACAACTTCAGATACCTGTATATAAATGAAATCACACAAAGCAACTACAAAAATAAGTGAGTACAGCACACAAAATTAATTATATTGAAGATTAAAGCAGAGAAAATTGAGTTGGGTATGGTGGCTCACATTTGTAATCCCAGCTACTCAGGAGTCAGAGGTAGGATCAAAAGTTTGAGGCCAGCTAGGTTAAAGTTAGCAAGACCCTATGTCAAAAACAAAAAATACAAATAAAAGACCTAGGGTATGGATCAAGTGGTAGAGTGCTTGCCTAGCATGCCTGAGACCTAAGGTTCAACCCCTAGTACGCAAAAAGAGAGAGAGAAACAGAAAAACAGAGAGAGAGGGAGAAAGGGAGGGAGGGAATTTAACTGTCACATCTTTTTAGTACTTCTAACATAGGAATTACTGGCAGAGCCTTTAACTAAAAAAGTTCTTAAGACAATAGCTTCATGAAGAATACAGAGCAGTGAAGGAAAGAAGAAAGCTGAATTCACCCGAGATCAGCAAGGTAACAAGATATAGGAATAAGAAAATCTTAACATCCTAAATAAACACTGGCACAGAGATATAGTACAATTGCTTAGCTTTCTCTGAAGATAAAAATGGTTTACTTCCATTTTATGCTTGTTTCAGGGACAAGATACAGACACAGTTGTGGTAGATACAGTTGTAGTGACTTTGACTAAGATCAACAAGAACCATTTCATCTTGTTATGTGCTAATTAATATTATATCATAAACCATAAAATTCTATTTGACATTAATTAGTTTAAAACTATAATTCCAAGTCAGACTTAATCTTATAATTTCATTAGAGATTAATCATTGATACCAAATCAAAGCATAGACATTAGTTTTAGCTATAGCATCATTAAAGAATATTAAAAATATAAATGCCTCAAGCTACCAACATCTGAATACAGTTTCAATTACTTTATATCTCATTTGTTGCCAAGTAAAGTTGGGAAACATTTTTTAGATATTTACATAAATATAGTAGACATAGACTTATTTACACATCATTAAGAATCTTCCTTTCCATATAAATATACAATTTGGAATTTGAATGTAATTCACTTATTCATTCAGTAAAAGAAACTTTTGGAGAGAAACGAGATTTTAAAAATTATGTGGTGTTATTTAGCAAGAGTCCTCCATGAAATTTCACAAATGATACAAACAGAATTCTTTTATACGTGTATACCACAAACCTGTGTAACTCCAACTCTCACTTCACGATTAACAGACCCTCCAACTTTTAACATTTCTCCACCGCTCTTTAAGAAACCTGAGCCTCCACGTAGAAATCCTGTGGCCATGAGTTCTAAGACTTCATCAAATGTTGCTCGTTTCACATTTTGACGCATTACTTTAAGGAAGAAATGTAAATTTATAAGCAAATGTATCTGAAGCAGATTTTTTTTTGCTATTAATTAAATCATATTTCAGTACTCTAGCTTAAAAATTCAAGCAATTATTTTCAAGAATACTATAATGAGCTTATGGTCACTACATTTTCTTATAATCTTAAAATTCACAATGTGCTAAGAAAAAATGGAAGGAGTTAGAAAAGAAAGAATTTCAATCAATCTATGTCAAACAGTCTGATACTAATGATAAATTTAATATTTGTAATACAGAACAAAGCATACCCAAAGAAGACACTACTAATTTAGCAGTTACCGATGGATTAAAATGCAACTGAGAGTGCAAATGATTTGCCATCTCTGGTATCCACTTTCACATTTTATGAAGTTCTTTCCCATAAAGTAGCAAACACAAGACTCACAAAAATTCTGTAGAGGGGGTATAAAGATAACTGTTAAGTGGATAGGCTTTGAAATTTGACTGCCTGGGTTTCAGTTTCAGTGCTGATACTTAATAGATTACTTTTTACAACAAAAGTTACACAATCTCCCTAAGCCTCAATTTCCTCATCTATAAAATGGAAATGACAGCTGGGTGCCAATGGCTCACACCTATAATCCTAGCAACTTTGGAAGCTAAAATCAGGAAGATTAAGGTTCAAGGCCAGTCTGGGCAAATAGTTCAAGAGACCCCCATCTCTAAAATAACCACAACAAAATGGACTGGAGGTGTGGCTCAAGCACAAAGCCCTGAGTTCAAACCCCAGCCACACCAAAAAAAAAGAAATAACAATAATACTTATGGTACTTAAACTTCATACAGCTGTTGTAAGAATTAAACAAAGCAATCCCATAATATGCTTAATTCAGCATCTGTCATATAGCACTTAAAATGTTACATTATCATCACCATCTAATGAAATAATTATCAATAAAGGTGAAGAAGCCAAAGCTCAAAGAAGTTAAATAGGGTCTCACAGCTAATAAATATAAGGGCCAGCACTAAACCTATGACATCTGATTCTTTTTCCACCATGCATAGGTGGGATAAGGGTGGGTACAATAGCAGAGCTGGAGTCACCCTTCATCTGCTATGGGTGTTTTGTTCTTGTTGTGTTATACATATTACTCACAACCAGCCTGAGACATCTTTGTGGAACTGTGAGGCAAAGAAAGTCACTTGAATAATCAATTCTGCCTCTGATGCTGCTTACAATGGCCCATGAAAAACAGAAAACTAAAACTGTAGTAAAAATGGGGATCTAACCAGCAGAGATTAAAAGTGCCAGAATTTAACTCCTGAAACATTATATGAAATCACTTCATAAATTTTACTTGCTCTATATCCAACAAAATTGCTAAATACTATCTCATACATTATCATCACAAAAACTTTCTTGACTACATCAAGGAAAATTCCATTTCAGTTCTTTCATTTGATGGTAAACTATATAATAAGTTAAATACATGAAAGTGACCTGCCTAAATATAACAACTAATTTAGAAGGAAGAACTCTATAAACTTTCAAATATCTGCTATAGTACAAATCAGGGGTTGGCACACAATACCTGTTGCTTGTTTTGGCATCAATGCTGTAGCCATAACTGTTCCTAAGAGTTTAGACACTGCTACCCGTACCCCATAATTTGAGTTTTCCAAAGCCTTAAAGCAGAGAGTGGCTACATTTTCCAATTCAGCAGTCCACATGAAAACAGCTTCATTTTGTAGTTCCAGTAGACACTGGAATTAAAAACAAAATGTAAATAGAACTTTTACAGAATTTAACAGAAGCAGAGTCACACTCTCCTGAAATAACTAAAACAATGAATAAAATTATGATACAATAGTTTTCAAGACAACGGACATAAGGCAGTGAAGGACAGTTATACTTAAAAGAGCTAATTCATTGCCAGGCTTGGTGACACATGCCTGTAATTCCTCGCACATGAGAGGCACAGGCAGGAAAATCAAGAGTTCAAGACTAACTGGGCTACATAGTGAGGCCATATCTCAAGGGTAAAAGGAGAAAATTCAACACGAAGTAAGCAGAAAAAGAAAATAATAAAGGCAAGGAAGAAAAGCAATGCATTAGAAAACCGAAAAATACTAGAAAAGAAATCAAAGCTGCTTCTTTGGAAAGAATAATCAACTTGGTAATTCTCTATTCACATTGATCTGGGATGAAAAAAATATATAAATTACCAAAACTAAGAATGAGAAAAGTCAAATCACTACAGACTCAGCATATATTAAAATCTGAAAGAGCAGGCAGAGTGGCTCAAGTGGTAGAGTGCTTGCCTAGCAAGTGCAAAGCCCTGATTCAAAACCCAGTACCACCAAAAACAAACAAAAAACATATAAAAAAGAAAAAATTAAAGAGAATTCATGAACATCTTCTGCCAATAAATTTTACAACTTAAATGAAATAGAAGGCAATTCACTCAAGAAGAAATAGAGTGACTAGCCTAATACCTATTTTAAAATTGATCTTTTTAGTTCAAAATCTGCACTGAAGAATTCCACCAAATGTTTAAATTAAAAAAATACTAATTCTGTATAAATTCTTCCAGGAAAATTAAAGAGGACTTTCTCATTTATCCTATGGGGCAAATACTGAAATCTGACAAAGATACTACAAGAGAAGGAAACTACACACCAATATCCTCATGAACAGAGATATACAAATGCTAAACAAACTTTTACTAACTCTAATATAACAATACACAAAAAGGATAACACATTATCACCAAGTGGAGTTTTTCATAGGAATTAAAAATTGGTTAAAATTCTAAAACAAATCAATGTAATTAACCACATTAGCAAGCAGAAAACAAAACTCTTATAATCATTTCTATAGATGCTAAAAAAGTATTTGAGAGGGTAGAGGCATGGCTCAAGTGGTAGAGCACTTGCCTACTAAGTGCAAAGCCTTGAGTTCAAACCCTAGTACCACCAAAAAGAAAAAAAAAATATTTGAGAGAATATAAGTAAAACTGGGGAAATTTAAACAAGATTGGTGGATTATGTCAATGTCAATGTCCTGGTTGTTACACTGTACTTCAAAAAATTACAATTGCGGGAATCTGGTAAAGATTCAGTATTATTTCTTATAAATGTGGCATGGATCTATAATTATCTCAAAGAAAAAAGTTTAAATAGCCGGGCATCAGTGGCTCATGCCTGTAATCCTAGCTATTTACAAGGTAGAAATCAGGAGGATCATGGTTTGAGTTTAGCCTGGCAAATAGTTCAAGAGACCCTATGTGGAAAATATCCCAACAGAAAAAAGGGCTGGTGGAGTGGTGCAAGTGGTAGAGCACCTGCCTAACAAACATAAGGCCCTGAGTTCAAATCCCACTACAAAAAAAATAACAAAACAAAAACAACACAAGAAACCAAATTTAAAACAAAATCTAATATTTATTCCCAATAACACCTCTTGGTAAACTAGGAATAGAAGGGTACTTCATCAACCCAATAAAGGGCATCTATAAAAACCTACTATTAATATTACATGTAATGGTGAAGGACTGCATGTTTTTCACCATGGTGAAGGAAAGCATAAAAACTTTTGATGGAAGACTTAATATTATCCAAATATCAATTTGATCTCTAAATTCAATGTACCCTGAATCAAAACCCAGACTGCTATTTTTGTAGACATCAACAAACTAATTCTAAAGTTCATATGAAAATGCAGGTTACCTAAAATAAGTAAAACAATTTTGAAAAAGAACAAAGTTGGAAGATCAACACTACCCTTTTTCAAGACTTATTAAAGACACATTAATCTAAGCTGTGTGTGGCCACACATGCCATAATTCTAATACTCAAGAAAGGTGAGGCAGGAGGATCCTGAGTTTAAGGCCAGTGCCTAGGCTACAAAGTGAGACTTTAATCTCAAAAAAAATGTATTAATCTAGAAAAATGCTGTTGGCATCAAGACAGACAAATAGATCAAACAGGATAGAGTATAAAAATAAACATACACATATTGGACAACCAGTTTTTAACACAGGTACAAAGGCAACTTAGTGAAGAAAAGGTATACTTTTCAACATGGTGCCAGAAGAAGTGGATGTCTACATGGGAAACAAAAAAGAACTTTGATTCATTCCTTGTACCATGTACAAAAAATTAACTCAAAATGTATCATATGTCTAAATGTAACACTATCAAATTTACAGAAGGAAATAAAAGAAAAACCTTAAGTTAGGGAATTTTCTCTTACATACAACACTGAAAGCATAATCCATATAAGAAAATTAGTAAACTGAACTTTAACAAATTCAAAATTTCTATTCCTTTTTTCTTCTTCTTTTGGTGGCACTGGAGTTTGAACTCGGGGCTTTGTACTTGCTAGGCAGGTGCTCTTCCACTTGAGCTATACCTCCATCCCATCCAAATTTCTATTCTTAAAAAGGAAGTATTTTTAAAAAGGAAAAAAAAACGTCACTATTTCTATGATGGGGAAGAGACAGAAAGATGTCAAATCAGAGGCCAGCCTGGGCAAAGTTAGAATCTATATCAAAAACAAAATACAAACAAAAGGCTAGGGCTGGGAGTCATGTGGTAGAGCACTGGCTTAGCAAGCTCCAGACAATGGATTCAATCCCAAGTACTACAAACAATAGCAACAAACAAACAAACACCAAAACTCACAAAACAAAAGACACTATTTAGAGAATGAAAAGATAGCATATAGACTGGGAGAAAATATTTTAAGTCATATAATTGGTAAAGAATATATAAAGAACTATAAAAGACTCTCCAAACTCAAAAATAAAACATAAAGCAATGGGCAAAAGATCTGAACAGGTCTTCAAAGTAGATATGATATGGCAATGAACAATGATATGGAAAACATCCATACCATTGGTCATTAGGAAATGCAAATTAAAACCACAATGAGATACCTGTATGTATTTACTAGAATGATTTAAATTAAAGACTCTCAGAAATGAATGATGGTACAGATGTAGAGGAAATAGAATTGTCTTACACTGATGAAATGTAAAAGGGTGGAAAAGTAAAATGGCACAAATACTGTGGAAAAAAGGTACACAGTTTTTTGTAAAAAATAAATATAAATCTTAACATGTGATTTAACTATTCCAACCCAAATATTTACCCAAATGAAATGAAAACAATGTCCATGCAAAAACTTGCATATGGATGTTCATGGAAGTTTTTGGTTTGGTTTGTTTTTGGTTTTTTGTTTTGTGTGTGAGTGGGTATGTGTGTGTGTGTGTGTGAGAGAGAGAGAGGAGGGAGAGAGAGACAGCCCAAACTAGAAGTAGCCAGAACATTTAAGGTAAAGGAACAAATTAGCTGGGCACCAGTGGCTCACACCTATAATTCTAGCTACTCAGGAAGCAGAGATCAGGAGGACCACAGTTCAAAGCCAGCCCGAAAATAGTTCACGAGACCTAATCTCGAAAATACCCATCATGAAAAGCACTGACAGAGTGGCTCCAGGTGAAGGCCCTGAGTTCAAGCCCCAGTTCCACAGGAAAAAAAAAAAAAGAAGAAATTAATGTGGTACATCCATGCAATGAAGCAGTACTGACAACAAAATATATGAACAACTGATACATACAACAGCACAGATGAAGCTCAAAACAATTGTGCTGTGTGAAAGAATTAAACACAATGCACAAAAAGTACATACCACAAGACTCCATTGATAAATAATTCTAGAAAATAAAAATAATGCATGAAAACAAAAAATACATACTCACAATTTAAAAGAAAAATATAAAAGCCATTAATTATTTAAAAGCAAGTAGGATAGAGCAACATTAAAAACTAGTCAAGCACTAACCTTGGCCACTGTACATCTAACAGCCATGGATCTGTCAGTCAGAGAGACCTAGCATTCTTGTAAATATCACGATGAGAGGAAGCTGCTGCACCACCAATCCATTCAGAACTTTCTGCAGGCTCTTAATATTTCACTTCGCCCTTGAGACTACACATGTACATAAAGTAAATCATTAACTACATAGTAAAACACAATTCTCTTAGCCTAATAATCTTATCTTCAAATTGTAACAATAAGTAATGAAAAATATATTAAGTATTCTATAGAAGGTACCTAAAAGGTAAGAATAATTATTAGCTTCAATGAAATATATCTAAGAAATTAGGTGAAAAGTAAACATATTCCAATATTCGATGACATTGACATACAATATAACTGTGAATGGGAAAGATAGATGAAAAGTTTCAATATCGTATCTCAAGGGCCTAAACTTTCAGAATGTAAAATATTAAGTAAAAAAAATTAAGAAATAATATAAGTCATCCAAAAGAGGAAGAAAACATCCAACATATTTTTTAAAATTTGTCACAAGCTAGGCACTGGTGACTCACACCTGTAATCCTAGCTATTTGGGAAGCTGAGATGAGGAGGAATCAAGGTTCAAGGCCAGCCTGAGAAATAGTTTACAAGACCCCATCTCCAAAATAACTAGAGCAAAATGGACTGGAAGACTGGAAGTTGGTTCAAGCAGTAGCACCTTGCTTTGCAAGCACTTGCTTTGCAAGTGTAGAGCCTGAGTTCAAAAAAAAAAGAAAGGGAAAAAAAAAACCTTGTCACAAAAATAGCAAAGCCTCACTTTCTTATAACTAACTCAACCTCTTGATTCTATACTCTCATAGGCTTATTCTTATTTCTAAACTATAATTAATATGATACAGCATATTGTTCACACATAAACCTCTTCCACTAGACTGTAAGATTTCTAGAGTCAGGGACCATGTTTTTATTCATATGTGTATGCCTAATGCCTGAAAAGTAATATATCCTCAATTCTTCCTCAATAAATAAATAGATAAATGGTTCTAAAAGAGATATCATCTGAAAAATCTTACTTTTCCTGAACAAAAGAATTAGACTGAAGAGAGTCTCTAGCTTAGTCCATTTGTGGGTAGCATAAAATTGACAAGGAATTTATAGAAGTAACACCAAATTGACAGAAAAAACAGACAGAATATTTTTACTTGATATTATCTGCTAGGGGTTAAACTGTGATCCCCTCAAAGATAAGTTCAAGTCCTAAACCCTGCTATGCCATATGAATATGACTTTATTTGGAAACAGTGTTTGTAGATGAAATCAAATAAACATGAGGTCATACTGGATTAGAATTGGCCTTAATCCAATTACTGATATACTTGTAAAAAGAGAAGAATTTATATATGACAAAGGAGACAGAGATTATAGAGGTATCTACAAACGAAGAAGGCCGGGATTTCTAGCAACCATTAGAAGGTAGGAAAGAAAGGATTCTTTCCATAACCTTCAGAGGAAAGCATGGCCCTGCTAACACTTGATTTCAGGAAATAAATTTCTGTTATTTTTAAACCATTCTGTCTGTGGTAATTTATATGTCAATCAGATGAAACTGATACATTAGGAATGGCACAAAAAATAAATGCCAATCGAAAAATAAGCCAAATAAAAATAATGGGCAAAACTACACTTTGTCAAGGAAAAGCATTCTTTTCCTTCTCCTTAAGAAGAGAGGGGAAGAAAGTCTAAAATTACTTTCTCGGATAACCACACGAATGCCACAAAGACACAAAGAAAGCAAACATGTTTAACTGACATCTAACTATTGTCACAAGCAAAGCATTCAAATAGTATTTGTTATAAAACTTACCTCTGCACTTTTCAGAGATTTCAAAAGATTATTTACTGTTTCTGGAAATGCACTGCCTAATATTCTCCCATTTTTTCATAAAATGCTCCAACACAAGCCACTGCAGCCCTGTAACAATAATTTCACTGGTCATTGTTCAGGTTAGTAACAGAATTTGATTACACTTTGCTCATTTCCAGAAATCAGTGTATATTTGTCTAGGATATTTGCCTGTAATCCTTAATTTCAACTCTCAAAAGCACCTCATTTATCCTTTTTAATTGCAACAAATGCTATAGTTAACCAAATTACATTCTTGTTAGGAATACAAAATAGTATACAAAATAAAACATACTCACCCTTTGGAAAAAAAACCTAAGCTTCCTTTTAAGAAGACTTTCCAAATTAATATGACCCACAATGATCCCTTCTTTTCTCATTATATCTAATAGTCAATGTCAAGCACTGATTTGACGGAATTATATTGCTTACTGTGTCATGACTTGGCCATTTGATTGTCTCTGTCTTACCTGTCAGTGAAATGTAAACTCTAGAAACAGACTATATCTTACACATACCTATCAACTATGAATAATTATACTATTATTTTAAATCTGTAAAATTTAATCTAATATTGCCTTAATGGAAACTCGAGCTGTATATAGGAGGAAATGTAGTAACATCTCTTCAGGAGAAGTGACCCCATTACTCATGTCAAGTAATGAATAGCTGGGAGTTTAGCTTAGAGGCAGGAGTAAAACAATGCCTAAAAACATATTCTTTGAAGTCTGGCAGACCTATGTCTAAATCCTAAAACTGCCACCCTAATACTATGTGACCTGAGCAAGTTAATTTACATCTGAAAAAGGTAATAAGTTAAATCACATTTGTATACGTAATAGTAGAATTAAGAAATCAATCTTACTTTTTTAATTCCAAATGCCATGGTTTTTTTTTTTTGCAATATTCTACAAGCTGATAATAAGTTAAAAATGACTAAAGTCACCTGTCAGAATAAATTGGGGAATTCCTAAATTCACTAAAAGAATGACACTAAAATTTATTTAGTGGGAACTATAAAATAGGTGTTTATTTGCTAAGTGGAGAGAATTAAATCATCAAACTATTAACATAAGCTTTTTAAAATGCGTTTTATTACATTTACTTATATGTGTATACATTGTTTGGCCACTATCCCCCGCCCATATATAGCTTTAAACTTCAAAATAACTTAAAAGCGAACCTCTAACCTCCTCAAAAGTTTTGAGAGCTACCTCTATTCCAAAAAACATAAAACCTAACACCAGTGTATCCAGCAGTTCAAAATGGACACAAAAATCAGCATCCAGAATGGATAATTTTCTGCATTTCCTCTGCAAGCTATTATACTTACAGGCCCTGGGCCTTGAATGTTGGTGATCTAGAGCTTATCTTTGGCCATGCTCTCTTTCAAAGAATAATACTCTCTGAAGTAGCTTTATATCATCTTAGGGTCAGTGTACTCCTAAATCTCCATTCTCTAC